ATTCCACAACCTGTCATCCTCTATGTGGTAAAATTCCCAGCTGCCCTGTTCTTTCGAACTTCTTCATCATGTCTCGTAGAGCGCGTGGTGTCATTGGTCCTCGGCGTAAGATCTTCAGCCGCGGGAATGCTCTTATCGCAGCACAGGAGTTCTCGTCATTCTGGTAGAAAAGTTTCACTAACAGAGCTTTGTCTTTCAAAGTCACCATTGTGCATCAGCGAGCTGGAACAACTGTCCGTGCAAGGCCTGTCTTCCCCTTTTGTAGGGCTCGTCTTTTGGATACGTTGCGCAGAAGCTTTATTTCTGCAAATCATGTTGCTGCAATATGCACATTACTAGTGTTACAGCCCCACCTATTGGCAACTTCTTGTACTAATTTTTTTTTTGTGTAATAAATCGCGAGCGCATGATCTAAAGTGTCTGTTATTAAAATTTCATCACATTATGACCCATACAACACTCTGCACAGGCCTCTGAGTTGGGGAAGTTTAATTTGGATAACCCTGTAATTCCAGAAAAGTCAGGACCACTAAATCAAAACTGTGCACTTCGATGGATGTTACTTCAAAGGCAGATAAGTAGCAATTTTTTTTTTTTTTTTAATGGAACTGGTTTACAAGCATTACCCATGAACTTTTTGAATAAAAAGGTATTCTACCATAAGACACAAATGATAACTTTTGTATGCTGCTTTTAAAATACTTAATTTTTAACATTTGAAATTTTTACACATATCACTTTTGCAGTATGTGAAAAATGCGTCCGAAAACAAACAAAGAATGTGAAACATTTAATAATATTTTGCAGACATTTTTATTTCTCTAAAACAGTTATTCCTACTAAATTTTGAATTCTTAATATGCATTTCTTAGATAAAAACAGATAACAAAGTAGGTCAATTTCAAAAGCTATCCTTTACTAGATATCACACTTCCAATTTTCCCAAATTTAGAATCCTCACAAGTATTACTAATAAGCTGCCACTAAAATTACAGAGAATTATTTGAAAGGCCAATGATATGGAAAACTTGAACTTTATTGAAGCTCCAAAACAATTTCACCTGAAGACAAAGTATATATAAAATAAATAAATAAGTTAAGGATATAGCTCCAGTAGTGCTGAGGATGTCACAAAAAGTCTCTGTCAAACAGGATCAAATTCTACAAATTTAATTCTAAAATGTATGTTAGGTTTGGTTTATTTGATTACGACAAAGAACACTAAGACTATCTGCCTACGGGGAGGAATGCCTTCATGGAGGACTGGCTTTCTAAGAGAAATTAAAATTAGCTCATATCCACATTACACATGGGGGAAATCACAAAAACACTTATGCAGCCAGCCTGTTCTACTGATCAATCTAGAATATAGGTATTCAAATGCAAGACGATTAAAAAATAGCATAGTTAAAACAGACAATGGATTTCAAGATATGCTAAAATTCACAAACTTTATCACTGTAATAGCTAAATTCACTAACTAATTCACTAGATGCAATGAAATTCCTTTTACACCATTCTGATGGGAAGGGGAGATCTAAAATCTTTGTTCCCAGTTATTAATTTCTTCTCCCAGTGGTAAATTTCTTTGATTCATAATGGACAGAAACAAAAACATTTTAGAAACTTAAAAGTTGTCAGATTATTTCACAAAGTCCTGCAAATTCTGAAAAGTGATATCTTCAGTTTTACCAGAGCTATTTACAAATTGTAAATGATCAAAATAATAAAATTTTATATATCAATATATAATAAAATAACAATACAAAATAAATATTTCTCTTAATTTACAACAATATAAAATAACAATACAAAATAAATATTTCTCTTAATTTACAACAATATAATTCAACAAATTTATAAAAGATTAAAGATTAATTAATAAAACAAAAAAAAAAATATTATCAGCCATTTCAAACAATTAATATTTTTAAAAATGCCATTCACTGAATTTAAATCTATACTGAGTATTTAGCAGGAAAAAAATCAGAAATGCTTTAATAAGCAATTACTAAAAATGATTACCTTTTAAGAAGTGCATGGTTCTAAACCATTTACATACATAACTGATCTGAAATAAGTTTCTGAACAGATGAGTATAACCTCTTTCTACAATACAAAAAGGTCAACACAACTAATATAGCATGGGTAGCCTAATTTCATGATAACAGGAACCATTTGCAAATAGCCACTGCTAAATATTTATGTTATTTTAAAACTAGCAAAACTTAATGAACAGAAAAAATATTTGATTTAAAAATGTTATTACATTTTATAATTGATGGTATTATGGCATAAATAAATTCTGCTCTTGCACTTCATTCAGTAAATTATGTCCTATTAAAACTCCAAACTTTAAGCTTTTATTCAGTGCTACTGAACTTACATTTTTGAGATAAAAATTGAAGTACATTTTTTCTGATTTCCAATAGTCTTCCTCCAATTCTGGTTCTATTTATTAAATGATTTAAACAGAAAGAGACCAAAAATAAAATAGAAGATATATCGACCTTTATAGTAATTACAAAGCTTTTAATTTAGGTGAAGAATAACATGGTTATTTAGACAATACAGCCTTTTCTTTTTTCTAAACCAAGTCAGATAAGAAAGAACACTCTGCGGAGAACCTATTCGATGTATGAAAATGATTTAAAATAAGTTATCAATTTTACTGCAATATGGCATGAAAAAAAATTTTTTCCCTGTGCTATTGTAATCAGAATCAATATATAGGGTTAATCAATTCTTAAAATGCAAATTACAAGCAAATATATTCATAGTGTCAATTTATGAGATTTAATGTACATCACAAACACATTATTGTGTACAGAGTATTGTGTATTTGTCTTTTCTGCTGTCCCGATAGCTTACTTGTTCAAAAAGGAGTATTCCTACAGTCACAAGTCCCAGAAATGGTCCACAATTCACGATTATTTAAAATTACTACACATTAATTTAAAAAACGAAATTACTTTTTATTAAAAAAAACATATATGCCATGATTTCCGTTTTAAAGGAGAATGAATGATATTTCAAAAATAAAACTATACTTTGTTATGATGACACCCACATAGAACTCAATTCACCACAGTTTGGTCTTAGCCATATAGCATTAACATTTCTACTTACGCAGCGAAAAAATGCACAGAATATTAACGCTTTACTAACCGATCGCCTATTAATCGGCTTTTTATCATCAATGTCTACCGACCAATAGATTATTCATCGGCTTTTTATCACCAACGCCTACCAACCGATCACCTACTAATGGGCTTTTTTTTTGCCAATGCCTACTGACTGATAGCCTATTAATCGTCTCTTTTTCGCCAATGCCTACCAACCGATAGCCTATTAATTGCCTTTTTCACCAACACCTAATGACCAATAGCCTATTAATCACTTTTTTCTTGGGGCTACCTAAAAATAGCCGATCAATCGGTAGCCATGGCAATAAACACAATTACCATTTGCTATATCATCTACATTTTATTATTAGTATTGAGGTACACTGTTCACTTGTGTTAAGTGCGTTGCTTCATAAACTTCCACATTTTCACACCGTTTTTTAAAAAATTTACTGTTCACGATGAGGGGGGGGGGAAAAGATACTGGAGAGTTTTATTTAGACGATTTATCAGATTGTCCTGACAGTTATTCAGGACAGGGAGAATCTGCAGCCATTTGAATGTGCGCATGCTGTTGAACCGGTAGCAGTTGGTAAAGTGTTAAATTAAACAGCTAAATTAATTACACATCATCAAAATTCTTGTCATCAGACAAATGAAAAGGACATACAATAACGTTCTTAGTTGAACATGAAAACATCTTTGCTAGAAGTAAAACATACTAGCTAACTGCTCAGTGTAGAAATTTTAATCAAACCATTCACTGCCAAATAAAATCTAAAATCTTTCTGCTTTTTGTGCACAAAAAGTAAGAACTGTAAAGAATATTTTAAATGCTTCGGTGCACTTTGTGGCATCACTATGAAATGTTTCAGGATCCTTGATATTCACATGAAGGTTTATCTTCAAATGCTCATAACCTACCAGCCTAAAATGATTTTATACTTCTCAGGAATCTAAATAATCATTGCCCCTAATCTCAATCTAATTTTCAAAAACCTTTAGAAACATTTCTAATGACCTATCCTTTATTGCAACCAAAACAACTTATCAGATATTCCTTTCAACCCCACCACAAAAATCACTGATGTTCAACTACATAATGACTCTTATTTTGCTTTTGAGCTACTGAGTTTTGCATTGTCTATCTGTACTATGTTTTTCCTGCCTGCTACCTTTTCCAACATCAATTCCACCAAATTCAGAACAGTTTTATTGACAAATTGCCATATGTTTTTCATATAACGGATGAAAAATATCACTTCTGTAGCTTCTTTCCCTATGGGAGACTGGGAAAAACTACAAATTTCATTTATTACAGCCAAATCAAGAACCATAACTAATCAACTTACTGGGTCCACAAACTTTCCCATCTCTAACTTATCTATAAAACCATGAAATTTCATTAGGAAGATTTTTCTTCCATGTTAATCTCAGAAACAACATTTAATTAAACCAGTTCCCTTTAACAAAATCCAAATGCTGTGGCACATCGTCACAAAACTAACACATGTAAAAAGACCCAATATCCTAATCCTTCACGATCTAAATTTGGAAAAAAAAAAAAGGTTTCCTGATATAATTTAGAATGCTCAAAATAGAAGACATAATTTTAAAATAAAGCAACCAAAAAAAAAAAAAAAAAATCTGATAAAAGATGATTTTCCCTTTATTCAGGAATAAATAAAGTGGTATCAGATTTAAATCGGCACAAATTTTGTTGCATGTTGAATGGAATTCCAAAAGCTTCAAAATGACCTGGAATTGGAAAACTAAAGCATTGGTTTCAAAAAGAAACCAAGCGCAAGAGATTATACTACATCTGTACTTAAATTTTAGTTCATTTACAGATTTTAAACAGCTCAGTGAACTCACTTTTAGATTCTTCCAATTGCTGAGAAGTTCTGTAGCCATATTTGAAATATTCATTTTTAGGCCTGAAGATTGATCATCTTCAGAAACTGTACACTCTATCTGCTGCACATCTGTTGAATTATTTTCTTTTGATGGTTCAGACTGTGTCTCGCCATCAGGAGAAACTACATTTTCAATTATAGATGGAGTATTTTCAGATGGATTGTCATCCACTTTCTGAGAGCCTGAACTATCAGTTTCACAATCAGAAAAATCTACTTTCAGCTTTTTACTTAGAGGTTCAGAGTTTTCTTCAGTTGCAGGATTTAATGCAGAAGAATCAGATGAAATTGCTGAAACATTACTTCTGCTTCCTGAACACTCCTGTAACCATTTTTCAACGACACTCATAACTTTACTGTCACGCAGCATAGTCTTGTTTGATATTGGAAGCAATGCCAAAACCTGCAAAATCTAAAAAAGATACATTTCAAGACATTGATTATTTTATATATATATTTTCCACATGCTACATTAAAATAAATGAAAATTGAAATAAAAGCATCTCATATAGATTTATTGAAATAGAAAAGTAATCATTGATTCATTTGAGAAAGTTTAGTTATGAATAAATGTTATGGTATTTTCAGGGAGAAAAACTCAACTATTTAATACAATTCTATTATACTCACTGAGTCATAACTGATACAATCCATCTGGAATTTTAAAATACATTGACTGATCCACTTTCTGAGAGCCTAAACTATGGGTTTCACAATTGGAAAAAGTCTAGTAGTAATTATGATTAATATGTACTAATTTTGTTAAATGTTGTTGCTTTATTAATTATAGTAAATACTGTAAGGAAGGATCAATTTTGTTCTAAAGTAAATTGGTTTGTATTCAAGTTACACATGTGGATAATCAGGAAAATACTGATGCAGTCAGCCCATTTGCCAGCACTGGTTGTACCACTAGTGTTCAACAGTTTCATCTTAGATAATAAGAAGTTCAGTTTTGCTTAAAATATTTTATTAAGCAATGTACTCAGTGCAGGATTTATATATAAGCTACAAAAACTATAGCTTAGGGCCCCTGTTTTCTTGCCCCCCCCAAACCCTCTAGATATCCAAAAATCATATTTGACACTGATATATAATACCTGGAATTATAAAGTGCCCCACATCTCAAACACCTTAGGACCTTACTAAGTCTAAAACTGGCCCTGAATGTACTGACGTTTTTTTTTTTTTTTTTAATCCCATTTTGTAGTTAAATAGATATATTTGATCAACAATTAGCATTCATTACATTAAACTTTGCAGTGATGACTAAAATAATTTAATAAAATTTAATTAAAGTTAAGCACCTGATACTGCATAAATGTATAATTAAACTCCTTATAAGGCTGTAGGAGGTACACTTACCAACAACTTCAGAAGTTTTTAAATGTAAACTATATTATCATGTATGATTAATGCTGTTATCTAATAATAACTTCAAAAATGAGGGGGGGGAAAGGAAGCCTTGAATAAAGATTAGCAAGGGATAAAGCACAGATAAAGCCATTTTTTCTAGTGCATAACACTTCTTCATCTAATAATTTCTTATTGGTTTTATTTATGGTTTAAACACAGGATTTATATACTCTGATTTATAAACACAAATGTTCAAGTTTATGGCCAGTTCTTTATAGTAACTAAAATCTTGAATTGTATTTGGCAATCTTATATTTTTCCTCCACTGGACACCTCCAGTTATTTGTAATTTAATTATTTTTATATATACTATGGAAATGTATAAAAAATGCAAGATGTATATGGCAGAGTAAGCTACTGAATTATGTTTTGCCCTTTTAAGCGACCCTGAAGATTCAGATAAAGATCTAGATGATGGAACAGGTGAATTTTCAACTGCTGAAAAGCAGAAATGCTGATTTATCTGAAACACAGCCTACCACTAGAAAAGATGCAAATAATTATTCATCTATAAATATAAAATACATCTAATTTACAGCTCTTTTTGCACACAGTAGTATCTGCAAAATATATTTCATGCAGTGAAACAGTAAAGGAAATAAAAAGTATGAAACATCCTGACTTTCAATAGTACACAATGGGCTGCGGTTAAAATTTCCACACACAAAAAGGGGGGGTCTTAAAATTAAATCAATTTTAACTAACAAGCAAAGGGATTTTCTTTCCTTACATCAATCTCAATCCCAAAAATATTTAATATAGCATCACTGGGAGGCGAGGTCTTAATAAAGCATTAATTCTTAATTAAATAAATAAATTATTGGCCCCAACATATTTTAAAAGCTGATATATATTACATCAGCTCTTTATTAGAAACAAGCGAAAACAAATCTTATGACCATATGCACACAGTAAAACCTGTTCCATAAAGTATTAAAATTAAGAATTAATAATTTATTAAGATTAATTATAATTTTAACTAACAAGCAAAGGGATTTTCTTTCCTTACATCAATCTCAATCCCCAAAATATTTAATATAGCATCACTGGGAGGCAAGGTCTTAATAAAGCATTAATTCTTATTCATTTTCCTCAATCAGTAATGGTAATAACTTGTTTTTAAATATACCTGTCAACATAAAAACAATATTCATAAGAAAAATTACATTGCATCAAGGCCATTTAATAAATTATAATCAATGTATAACAAGGGTACCTGCTATAAGATAACCAGTAATACCAGCATTAGATTCAAATTCTGTCTTACAAATAAATCTACATAATAAAATTTAATAATCAGATTAAATACTTTTGTTCCAATCATGAAATTTTCCATTTACACAGCATTAATTACCTTGCTTAGCACAATGATTTATTTTCATAGATAATAAAATAAATGAATTATTTATAGATCATTAAACAAAATCGTAAATACATTCTAGTTGATAGGTTAACTGATTAAAGGAAAGCATAACACTGCTACCTATTTATGAAAAATCAGTTTATTCATTTTTTCTTTAGATATACAAATAAAACCATGAAAATATGTAAGAAATTAATCTGCTTGCTGGGATTTAAACTCAGGTCGAACAAACAATGTCTAGTGGTACTAACTGATTGGGCCCAACATATTTTAAAAGCTGATATATATTACATCAGCTCTTTATTACAAACAAGAGAAAACAAATCTTATGACCATATGCACACAGTAAAACCTGTTCCATAAAGTATTAAAATTTACCCATTAACATCTCATTTTCAATATGAGTGCTTCTTTCAATGCTTGAGTGGTGTGGATCTTGTTTCAAATGCCAAGATTTTGAGGCAGAGAATGATATTTAAAATACAGGTGAAGATGATACTGACAATTCCATTAATCCCAAGACAACGATAACAATGACTTTCGTTGAAACTTTTTGGACTTGTTAACCAACAGGGATTTGAATATTATAATAAAATATAAGGGTTGGTATTTATATTTCTGGCCTAATAATGAAAAAACAAATGTTTATGATCGAAATTGGCTTTATTGTTTATCAAAATATTCTCCATGAAGATCAATACACTTTTGCACGCGTTTGAATCAATTCTTGAAGCACTTTTTCCACTTCAATTGCGGTAACTTCAAAACATGCATTTTGAATGCATCAACTGCTCCTTAGGGTGTTGCAAATTGCTGACCACGTAATTTATTTTTGATGTGCAGGAATAAAAAAAAAAGTCATTGGATGCCAAATCAGGGCATTACGGCAGATGACTCATCAATTTGATGTTTTGTCCCATCAAAAAGTCCTTTGTTTGAGCTGAAGTGTGAGAGCTCACACTGTCATGAAAAATGATTCACCTTTTCTTTTTTTTGAATTTCTCTGATGATTTCTGGAAAACTAATGGTCATGTACCATTCGGAATTGGCCGTCTTGCATTGCTCTAACACCACGTGACTGGTAATGTTGACGAAAAGGCAACCATTTGCTTCAATGTGTTTCTTCCGCGAACAATTTTTGTTAGATTTGGTTTGTTTTACATACAGTTGACTGCTGTTTTATTTCGGGCTCATATGCTTAGATCCATGATTTATCACTTGTGTAGATGTTATACACAGCCTTTGATGAACCTTGAAATTATTTTTCCAACATTTCCTTGCACCAATCAACACAAGCCTTCTTTTGAGTATTTGTCAGATTATGCAGGATCCAACACGAACAAATATTTTTTATGGCCAAATGTTCATGTAATATCTTACTGATGCTTGTCATACTAATGCCCAAAGATGTCTCAATCTCACGGTATGTTACATGACTATCTTGCATTTTATCAGGTCATGCAGAACATCGATTTTTCTGGCCAAATGATTTTGAATGACCTCCCCAGAATTCGTCCTAGAGCTAATGTCAACCAAAATTGAATACATTATACCAGTTTTTTTAAACACTGCTGTAAGAATGGTGCTTTATCCCTGTATAAAGAATTAAGTTCATTGAAGCACCCTTGTCTTTATAATCCACATCAAAAGTTATGGAAAACAACTGCTCGAAAATGCTCAAGAGTCAATTCCATTTTTTGCCAGAGATGAATGTTTTAATTTACTGTAAACAACACAAATCACGCTAAAATGGCAAAATATTCTCAAGAATTTATGGTTAAAAATATCAAACTTTTGACTGGAATATTTGTGGTCGCCTAGCAGCATTTACTGTTGCCAAGGCCAGGAACATCGATCACAACCTTCATAGCATTTCAGAAAATATGCAAAGAAATTCAACAAATATTCGAAATTTCTAACACTGTAAAACTACCAATTTTTTAAAGAAATATGAATAAAATACAATATGCATGAAAACTGGCAATTTAGATTATCCATGACTTGCTTCTCTGGCACTAGCCTGTACAATCGAGAGTGCACTGTTTTTAAAAGTTGTTGCAAGTAATTTTTACACAACCCATGGATCACTTATGTATAGTATTTTTATGTCTCTATATATTTTGGATTTTTTTGCAAAAGTTTAAGCATTGAATACAATTTTTAAATTTCAAGGTAAATGTAAAGTATTTACATGAAAACTGTTTGCTATACTTTTATTCTGAAATTTGGTAGGGTCTTTAAATGGATATTTTGATTGAAATTACAAAATCAAAGGAGTTTAACTATCATGCAACATAGAATAATTACACCATTTAAATACTAAATAAACAATGTAGGGGATTAGTACATTCATAAATGCATAACTATCATTAACGCATGTCATATGTTTAAGCCAAATAGTATAAATTTAGGCAACAGGTAACAATGTATCACCAACTTTTCCTTAAGCTTTGTTCTATAGCAAAGAAACACTGTTATTTATGGAATTTCTGAAGTAAGGCGAATAAATGATGATTTTCTTTTTTGGAATTACTAAGACAAAATAACTATTCATCAACATTTTAATCTCTTAAAATTTATTCTCAAATGTAAGGTTTTATACTCATATAAATACGGAAGGAATTCTTAAAATTAAATCTCGAAAACCGAAATGTTATGATTTTGGATTGATGCAAAATTTTGAAATGATTTAAGACTTTTTTGTGTGAAATAGGACCCCTCCCAAAAAAAACTATTATAATGCACATGGATTCATCATGCTTCACAAAATTTAATTATTTACACCTATTTCAACAACTGATATACATCTCTCAGAAAATTAAACAAATAACATTTTGAACACTTCTATACAAAGTTAATCATACCATACATCCTTACCTGGATTAATTAACAAAGAAATGGTAAAAAGCACAGACAAATGTTGATAAAACATTTTTACCTGCTTATACAAAAGGCTACTAAACCACCACTTAAATAAATATAAATTAAAAAAAAAAATTACTATTAACTTGTAAAGCTCTAAAATTGTCCAATGCACTATATTATATATAGACATTATGGTCATAGATCAGGTCATTAAAATACATTCTTAAATTTTAAGTGCAAATTTTTTGTATTTCAAATGATCTAACTATTTTATATCCTGAGAGATTTTTAACTACCTCTCAAATTTATTTTACAGAAAGCTACATTCCTTCTGGATTATACATAAAACATTTCAATAATTTTGGCGTTTAATATGACTGATTCACTATTTTTGAAAAGTACAATACTGAAATATTCTAGGTTGTACATTTTTGGGAGTTTGAATATTCATCAATTCTAAAATTTCTTTGTATGTACAAAAATGAAAGGTTACCAAAAGACTTTCAAATAAGCAGAACACAACTGAATCTTAAGATACCAGGCTCAGTAACATCTGAGCTGATTTCATAAAATTTATGCTTAAATATTGACTTTTAATTTTTATCTCTACTTTTCTCATCTAATTGAAAATGATAACAATTACAATGACCTTCAGTGATTTCTCATTAGATAACAATACTGATCTGATAAGTACTTCTAAATGGTAAACTGAAACAGAATTTCTACATTTTGTCTAATTATGGGGTATAGTGGCAGAATCAAACTGAACTAACAGTTGAACTGATAAGGACAAATGGATATAAATTTGGATAAAACAACATGAATGTCAGCAAAAAGTACCTTCTCCATAATAATAAATGGGGATGAAAATATTCTACACCAACGACATTCAATACTTAAAATACATTTCATGTCAATGATATGAGGTTCGAATCTCAGTTATACAGATATTTATGATTCTGTGTCTATGTGGAGTGAGGCATCATAAAATTTATCGGTTTTTTATGGCTAGAACAAACTGGCAACCAAACAAAGTGTTTGATCGCATTTTTATCAGTCTTTTTAATATTTTTTTACCAGTACATTATGCTATATATCACATATTCGGACAAAATATGCAGACATATATCATATATTCTATTTGGTAGACATCATCATTATATGAAACAGAAGCTCTTTGTTTGCACATAACCTGTATTTAGAATATTGCTATGCACAAAACAAATGAAGCTTAATTTATTTTCCAAGTTTAATTAGTCTGTACCTGCTTAAGCAGAGCAAACTCTTCAGTGATGAAATTTTGAATACATTTAATGCATAATCCATCAAATTGACAATTTTTCTGAACACTTGCAACTTTGTTATAATGTGTCAACAATGTCTGCAATGCAATATATATATATATTAGCATGTGGTCCATTTCTTTTTAGACGGGGGAGGCACAAAGTTCACAAAGGATAAAATTCAGTGATTTTTTATTATCACATACTCACATTCCAAGAAAAACCCTATAGTAATTTAAAATCAAGATATATATATAAAAAAAAATGATATTACAAACTTTTGGTAAACAAAAAAAAAAAAAAAAAAAAAAAAAAAAAAAAAAAAAAAAAAAAAAAAAAAAAAAAAAAAAAAAAAAAAAAACAGTAGTATTTTCTTAAGTAGACTAATCATAAAGAAATTAAATTTAATAAAAAGACAATAAGGGAGAACACAAGCACTTTTACTACAAACTTACATTAGCATATTTTTAAAGAAAATACAGACAGCTTTTACAATATTTTGAAACATTTAATTCTTTGCACTCTAATTTGTTTTCCAATTTATAGTTACAAGATGCTCTGTTCTCACTGCTCTGCTACACTGAATTTAGTTATATCAAAATTACTGTTCCTTCGATGTAATTTGTTTCCTAATTTATTGATAAAAAGGACATTTCACAGCATATTTTATTAACACTGCTTCCTTTTCACTGTCTGAAATTATCTGCCATGTCAGCAGTGATGCAAGTTTCGATGAAAACAAATGTTCCCATATATCAATAATTTTAGAATGCAAAGGATTAACATGGACATAAGTAAAGCATATTGATGGAGTGAAGAGAGAGAAAATGAGGCTTTACTTTTTGTAAATAAAAAGTATGTTTTACCTTAGCCTTTAAATCTAGATCAACATTATCGGCCATCCAACACCACATTAAAGGAAGCCCATGATAATCCAGGAATAAACGTAGGCAAGCTTGTTCTTCAGTTTTCTAAACAAACATTTTTCCTTCCATAAGTTGCAAATATAAACTAATTAATGATTATAAAATAAGCATTCTGTCATGCATTATAAGTAAATAAAGTAGATGATTTTTCATTTAATATGCTATTTCATTTATAAGACATCAAGAATAGTTGCAGTGATTAAAAATGAATATATAAAATATCTACAAAATTAAAACACTTCTGAAAGAATTGTATTGCTGAAATATTATTTCATGTTTATTATCTGGGGGAGGGAGAGATGAAAAAAAAGGTGGAAAGAAGAAAAGATATCAGATTGAACAAAGCTTGGTTCATATCAACTTGTTACAAGGTTTTACTTGTACTGAAGATTATTAAGCCCATACAGTGAAATAATGTATTTGAGATCACCTGTTTCTTAGTTTCTGCACATTTTCCTTTCTTACCAAAATGTCATCACCTCTCCCCAACCCCAAGATTTTTTTATTCAAGTGCTGCATTTCAAACAATATCTTAAAGTGAATTTCTTTTTGGAATGCATATAAATTTAAGATACAAACATATAAATTTACAGTTTGTTACAATCACCCAAAGCACATTATTCATATCTTTATTAATCCATGAATTTGTATAATTAAGGAAACTTTTATTGTTTTTGCTGTCAACTACATGGAATTTAAAATTTTTCAGATCTTTTGGATCACTTCAACGATGCTACAGCTGATTTTTGCCTCATCACTATTGTTACAATCTAAGCCTATTAGTTTGAAATCAAACATATTGTTCTAGTGTTGACAGTTCCTGTTCCAGATACTGTTTATTGTCATAGAAGTGTGTACACAGCTTCTTGTGGCTACCACATTGTGCTACAACTTATACCAAATCTTTGTCTACCAAAAATATATGACAGAATATTGGCATTTCAGGCGAATTTGTTCTCAAGAAAATATTTGCATTAGTTAGTTTCATGAGGAGAGTGATCCCCATAAGAGCGAGCCCCCATAAAAATGTGCACTAAATCAGCGGCCTTGCCAGCAGACCACATGTGTCTCTGGAAGCCCTTTTATGAATGCATTTTAATCATGTATTTGTTGCAAACAGCTTAAAGTTTTAGCAAAATAAAGATATGGATTCAGCTTATGAGCATGACAGATATTGAAGGAAAAAAGAATGAATAGGCTGGAGCTTTATCACAGTATGCTTATACAACAGGCCATGTGGCTACAAAATTTTAAAAAATCTGAAAAAGAGCATTAATAATAGATAGATAAACAGATATGTGTATCACAAATTAAAATATGGCCCACTAAAATTTTTTTTAAATATTATTATTATGAAAATCTGCATATTAATATCCATTTGTGAGAAGAGAATAAATGTAGGAGAATAAATAATACAGAACTATTAAGTATTTGACTATCTGAAAAAGATTAACAGTAAGTTCTATATCTCCTACAATTTTTTAAATCAGGAAAACTGAAATATACTTACAATGATAATATCAAGCAACTGATGACGGGTTGTCGGGTCATCTGCACGAACCATCAGCCTCGCTAATTTTAAAGTTTCTTCTTTATTTCGCAGACCTTTACTTCCATTTAATTTCTCTATTTCTTCTTCAAGCTAAAATGTGAAAAGCATACATTTTAAAAGCAATGAGAGTGTAACAATAATACATACTTAATACAATGTAGCTTGAATTCAACAAAATTAAATCATTTTTTAAAGAAATAGAGATAAAACTCTCAAAACAATATAGAAACAGAAATTATGAAATATATTATTGGTGCTTTTCAGCCTAAGAAAGGACAGATAAGATACACAAGAACTAAACTAAACTAATCTAGGCATTTTTTAAAAGAAAGTCCTACTAAAAATCTTTGCTGCTGTAAATACTGACAGCTTATGGCAACATAAGCATAATAATAAATTAAAAAAATAATAATAAATAATAAATTAAAAAAATTATACAATGAAACATTAAAATTTATGTCAAGTTCTTCATCTTTAATATTTCGAATTTTTAACAATAAATATCTGCATGTCATTATAAGAAGGCAGATTCCATGTTAATTCTATTTTTTATATTTTAACACTCAAGTTAATGAGATCTGAATATTTGTAAGAATATTTAATGCTTGTTTTTAATTTCATCACCAAAAAATGCAACATTACCTTCATGTCTCATCCCCCCCACAAAAAACACCCAACCCACTTTGAACAACAATGCAATGAAATTGTCAAAAATGATTACTCATTTTCATCTGTAAGAAAAAAAAAAAAAAAGAAAAAAGAAAAAAGAAAAAAAGAAAGAAGAGAGCAATGCTCTCACTACAATTTGAACTGATTACTAGCCAAAAATTCTTCCTAAAACATAGTGAGGAGGGGGGGGGACTTAAGGCTTGAATTATAATGGAGGACATTTAGCTTCATATAACATTTCCTATTTAATTACAAAAAGATACCCATATATAGTTGGTGAAAGTTTATTATTACTAGTATTTGAGAATTAATAACTACACTTATGAAAATGAACATGAAACCAATTTTATACAGTCAGAAACAATATAATTCAACTTATACAGATGAAACAGCCAAAACTATTTAACAACAACTGAACTCTGAAATAAGGGTTGAAAAATTTTCCATGCATCTGGATGAAAGAACATTTTAATGATCAATGGACATTATTATAATGATGAAGGAAAGAAAAACAAGATTTTTTTATGCAAAGTCTCTCAAAACATACACAACAGAAGACATATATCACTGCTTTAAAAGAAAAGTTGCATCATTACATTAAGTGCAACTATTATATTAATTAAAATGTCTGTGAAATGAGAACATATGATGCTGCTTCTGAAAACTGGTCTGCGTTTGTTAAATTAATAATAATAATAATAAAACTAATATACTATTTTTTTAAACTTTAGGTCAAATTCTTAGTCTTTAAGTTATTTATGAGATGTGAAATAATTTGTAGTACTATTATCTTGTGTGCTGTATATTGCAGAAAAAAATTTAAGGGGCTTGATGAAAGAGGCTTGATACAAGAAAGAGCTTGGAAATCCCTGAGCTAAACAACTGTCAGAATTAATTTAAACAGAAATTAGTCAGTCTTATGGATTTTGTGCAACAAACACAGTTCCATAGATCAAGTTAACAGACTTAGGAACCAGTCTAAATCCTGTTTCCTTATAAAATGTATCCTTTTAACCCTTCAACAACCACTAGATGGTTACATTATCATTCACCAAATTATACATCACATTAATTTTTAAAACATTTGTGGGGTAGCTAATCTAACTTATTGCAAAAAAAGGGGGGGGGAAGCTGTAACTTAATTTTGGATGCGAGTGAACTAGACCAAGTGCTAGGTTCTGTATGTGTAAAAGTATACAGAATTATCTATTGCTTTTTGAAAGATTACAAAATATCCACCATCAAAATATGGAATGTTCCTGTCCTACAAACTTTACAACATTCCCCCCCCCTGAAGTCATGCTAAACACAAGCAGTTCAGATAACCTAAATTCAACTTTACTCATTATTCCAAGCAATTTTGTTTCAGGTCATTAAATATAATATACCACACAATCATCTTTGCTTATGTTTGTTCACACTAGATCTGACATTCAAAATATCATGCATTTCAAAGACTTTTAGATCTGCAGAAAATTTATCTCACTTTTACAAATGAATAACTCATTCAGTGCAAAATCATTTTCTCTAAACATGAAGAAACCAAACAGCAAACCATATTAAGTAATAATCTATAATATAAAATTTTAAATCATGAAAAACAACACAGTGAGAAAGGTTATTGAATCTCTAAATGCCTTCACAGTGAGTGAGGAAATGAAGAAAGTAAAATCTTCTGTTAATTAAGAAACTGCAAATGCTCCTGAAGAACGTTTTATAGCTATCAAGAGACTCAAATACAAGAATACAAAGATTAGAGATGAAATTTATGGAACTAGCTCAGTTTGTGAACAATATCCCATTCAGCCTTCTGCAAATGACACTCCATCCTTCTATCAATAATGTTAGAATCCTTTCATCTTAGCTCATTACAAGTCTCACAATGAGAATCAATGGAAATTATCACAGAATTTGTATAAATAAAATGAAATGACTCTGCAGGCTAGCCAATGGGACTCTTGCCTCCAAAGTCTTAAAATCTGGCCACAAGGCGAAGCTGCTGATGCGCTACAAATGTTTCTAGCCAAAAAATAACCAGCCACAGGTGCCTTAGTGAATTTTATATAGTTCTGATTTGATCATAAAAGAAAAGTTTTTTTCTATTACCAATTGCATTGGCAATAAAAAACATGACAGAGACTTCAAGAACTAGGCATATATACTGAAAAAATAACTCAAATATGATTTTTAAGAGTGTGCACGAAATATCAAATCCACATTTAAGTTTCCATATTTTGTCAATGTTACTGTAGATGCGGATATACAGCAAACACTAAAAATAGCAGACAACAAAGATTTAAAAAGCATTCTCACACTACCATGAAAGTGAAGAGAGCATAGAATGCCAACAGAAGAGACTGGTAACCTGTAAGGGTATTAACAATGCAGGGGGCTTAGCACTGAAAGTTGTGAAGGAAAAGATTAGATGACTTTGTGGAGATTCTTTTTCTCTTCCTTTATTTTTTTTTGGGGGGGGGGCTCATATTTACATTACACATGAGCAAAACCACAAAAACTCTCATGCAGTCAATTCAGCCACTGGTGGGCTTACGGTGACTGGAGGCTATGGAAACATCAAAAAACGCAAAATAATAATAGTACAGAAAAGTGCTGTAACTGCAGTCATGAAGGATGTTTATGAAAACACTCTCTTGTATGCAGATTACAGAGGACTGGAAATTATTCAAAAGAGTATCCTCAAAGTTATTCTTTGAAACAGAATTGCTGTGGCAGAAGTTACTGAACACAGAAAACTAGTTTGCCAGTGTTTCACAAATACCTTCATTTCATGGTGGAGATTGCAGGATGTATCTGGAAGAAGAGGAAAAAGTTGTTTCCTTTCCCTATGATAGTACATACTTGAGCTAACTGCAATATTCTACTGCAAAATGTCTCTTACTGCATGAAAAAAAGTATTCTGTATCCCAGGAGTTCTTAACTAGCAGGGAATTTTAGTTTCAGGAAGGGGGGATGCAGTCAGCCTTTAATTTAGCTGCTAAGTATTTAATTTTAGTTTTTGAAAAAAAAAAAAAAAAAAAGCTTTTATTCAAGTTTTGGTATTTGCCAGCATTTTCTATACTTTTTTTTTTAAATTTAATTTATAAAATAACCAGAAATAAATATTTGTATGTATTTTTCAAGTTGGGAAAGGAGGGAATAATCTTCTAGCAATGGTGAAAGGAGTGCATGGGGCAAAAAAAAGATTGAGAACCACTGTCTTAGAGAAATATTTTTACAAAGAGCCACTGTTGTGTACAGTTCCATAATTTGTTTCACAAGCAGTGAAATGTACAGAAAATGTCAGTACTGTTTGTTTGAACATATCTACACTATTAGGCATATGAAGTGAACTTTGCTGTTGACATATTTATAACAAAATTCAATGAATGAAATACCATTGTGATTAAAGCAAAAATGATTTAAAAAAGTGCATACATTAATTACTTAAAGAAGCACCTCAACAGGCAACAAAGCTTTATCCGGCACCTGTTATAACCACATGGAATCATCAGTTAAAAGTCATCATTTATTTGAGGAATATATGGAGCCCATTCATTTTACCAATAAATATGAATTTCTCAAAAGGAAATCCTATCTCATAAAATATGATTTCAATGACTTTTGTGCTGAATTCTATCCAAAAATCATGAAACTGTTTCAAAATTTAGAAGCATTAAACTAGGTATTTACTCACATCCAGGGAAGTCAATTAAATGATTTGAAGATTTATCTTGTTTTGGGAATAAAACAAAATTGAGATTATTATGAGAAAAAAGAATGGTGAAGTTGATCAGAAGCGGAAAATCATGTTAATGCCAGTGTCAGAAAAGAGCCTAAATAAATTTATCTATCCTCGTCCTAAAAAGAAAATGCTAAACTCTAGCACATCAGGCAAAAAAGCAATATAAAATGGCCAAGTAGAAATAAATTTTGCCATGGCAGGGGGGATGCAATGGCATCACTAAAATGCCAAATCAGATTTAACAGACTTAAATAAGGTTAGGAGTTATCAGAATAACATACAGCTTAGTATTATATTTTGGAGTTGTAAATAATAATTCATTTTTTATTAGAAAGAGATTTTTGCTGAATAATTCTCTTCTTAATGCCAATGTAATTGGACATTCCCAAATATAATACGTAATACCCGCCTCTTCATTTAGTTTATTTTTATTTACATGACACATCCAGTTTGAAGAAACGATATGCATAATGTGAAAACTTTTCATTTCCTGACCACCGGACTTTCAGCACTGAACATGATAGTTTGACTCAGGTTCAGATTTCAGGGCACAGTCTGGCTGCACAGTATTTTCATAGTTTCTTCCATGTGAAATGTGAATAAAAGTCAGTTTTAAGCCCTTCACAAAAGCATCTCTCCCTTTAGGCAAGAATTTCTTTCAGTTAAACTGATCACAGCA